ATTTACCAAGGAAAACTTGTCTTAGGCTGCACCACAGCAGCAGAGCTTTTTCTTAAAAGGGATCAACAAGATAATCCCACGCGGAAAGCTGCTAGATCAAGGCTGGAAGTACCAGGGTGCTTCCAAACAGAAGAGTACACACTGTGAAAGGCCTGGGGAAATGAAAATATCGTATTTTTCGGTGTATAAGACGCCCCCCACTTTTCTAATCCGAAATTAAATAATCTAAGTGTGGTTTAGCAAGTGTAGGGGGAAAGGGATCAAAGCGCTGCAGGATCGCTTTGATCCCTGCTTTCCCCTTCACTTTTTTTTGTTCCCTCCTCAGCTTGCTTCCGTGTATAAGACGACCCTCAATTTTTAGTCTAAAGAATTTAGACAAAAGTATAGTCTTATACATGGAAAAATAGGGTGCCTTGGTTTAGGGCAAGGGTGGGGAACGTCAGGCCCTGGCAACTAAATCTGGCCCTCTGACTTGCCCCACATCCTTCACCATATGATCACTGAATGGGTTTTTCAGCTTTGGGACATTTTGCCTTAACGCTGAAAGGCTGGAGCGCCTCCTGGAGGCTTGGTTATCGATAGTAATAGCTTTAAGCTAAAAGGCACTTGCATTTTTTGCCCCATCCTTTGTCTTCGGCCCCTACCACCATTACATTTCTCCCCTCGATTTAACTTTTGGGTTTGGTTCTCCATCTGTTCGTCACCATCTCTCACACACTCATAAAATCAATGCATCCTTTTATGGGAGAGGCCAAAAAGCATATTTACCCTATTTTTTCCATGTATAAGACTATACTTTTGTCTAAAATCTTTAGACTAAAAATTGAGGGCCATCTTATACATGGAAGTAAGCTGAGAAAAGAACAAAAATAAGTGGAGGGGAAAGCAGGGATCAAAGCGATCCTGCAAGGCTTTGATCCCTGCTTTTCCCTCCACTTGCTAAGCCCCACTTAGATTTCTTAATTTTGGGTAAGAAAACTGGTGACTTAGATTTCTTAATTTTTGGTTAGAAAACTGGTGGGCATCTTATATATGGGGGTGTCTTATCCAAGGAAAAATACGGTAATTCAGACGCCTCTCATGGGGGTGTCTTATCCATGGAAAAATACAGTAATTCAGACGCCTTCTGCTAGTCAAAGCATCTAGTCTACTGTGATTGCATTCCTGTGGCTATCCAGTCTTGCTATAGTGAGTTCTTTAAAAAAATTTTGAAGATAGTAAGTCAATCAACCTTATTGTATTAATATACTGGGGGGGAGCAGTAAAAATAACTAGACTGAATGATGGTTTTGTAAAAGTATTAAAGCCAATACACGATGTTTCTGATTCTTTAGTAAAACATTTTCAATCAAATCTATCGAAGAGAAGTTATTCTTGTAATTGGGCTGAGGTTGACCTTCCGAAAAAGAAAATGCCAAAGCATAGAGCAGGTATAAAACATTAAGTTGAACGAGCCCTTCACTTCTAGTTCTTTAAAATAACACTTGGCAGAACTTATAAGCAGGGTGAAGAAGAGGTAGGAGGCTTGCAGGAGGATTTCAAGACAGTTTTCCATACATGCCTCGAGGAGAGGTGTCACAAGAAGAACATGGATAGGTATACTTAGTTTATTGACTACAAGAAAAAACTCTTTTTTTGGTCAAAATCCAGCATGGCAACCTTATGTGGCTGTAAGCAAACATCTGGATTCATTTAGACAGACAGACAGTAAAACCAGGGAGCTGTAGTAGCAACAATAAAAAAACTAGAGATGACAAAGGACACAAATACAAAGAGGAGAACGGGAAGAACATGCTTTCACTGCTTTTCAATGTGTACTCCAAGAACATCTTGAAAGCAGCACTTACTGATGTGCATGAAAGATATTATTGTTCACAGATTAGTTATCAACAATAGCGGACATGCAGATGATAGAACATTGCTAAATGACAGTTCAAGCAATGTGCAAAGTTTACTCAATAAAGGGCATGCCCGAGTAGACCCACGGAGCACCCACTCGGAGTAAGATGAATTGTGCTCCTTTTTAAACCGCAAAAGCAATTGCTCATTTTGTACCTGTAGATATTTTAGTGGTATGTAGGTGGGAGACACAGAGGAGATTTTCAGAGACGAGCTGTCCCGCATGTTTGAGGATGATCCTCCCACCACCTCTGGCTCAAAGGAAATGAAGGGAGCAGCTGAGGCACCACTGCTGAGGGAGGTGGCAATGGTAAACCCCTGCTGAACTTTCTTTCCCCATGAAAACCCTGTGATGAGACAGTCCAAAACAAAACAAGAGATAGTGCTGGAAGATGAGACTCCCAGGACAGAGAGCTGTCCCGCATGTTTGAGGATGATCCTCCCACCACCTCTGGCTCAAAGGAAATGAAGGGAGCAGCTGAGGCACCACTGCTGAGGGAGGTGGCAATGGTAAACCCCTGCTGAACTTTCTTTCCCCATGAAAACCCTGTGATGAGACAGTCCAAAACAAAACAAGAGATAGTGCTGGAAGACGAGACTCCCAGGTCAGAAAGTACTCCATCGGCTACTGGGGAAGAACAAAGAACAAGTACAAATAACTCTGTTGGTAAGGATGCCACTAGATTAAAGCTGAAAGGATGTGTAGTGGCTGATGTGCACAGAAGTGAAAGGAAGGTCCCATGCTGTACTACACATACAATTGGAGCATGGAACATGAGAATATGAATCCAGCTAAACTGGAAACCACAAAAGAAGAAATATAACGTATTAATGTTGTAGTCCTTGGTGTCAGTGAACTAATGTGGAGTGGACTGGGATTATTTTTAGTCGGATGACTGCAAAGTGTTCTACACTGGAAATGACAAATCCAGGAGAAATTGAGTGTCCCTAATAGCACAGATGTAACCTGTATTGTGGACAAGAAGCTACCATGAGGATTGACTAGAGAGAGACAGAATGGTTTCCTATAGGTGAAACCAGGGGTCATCCACTCCAATGGAGTGTTGGGAGAGTGAGAAGAGACCAAAGAAAATATTTCTTGACCCAGCATGTTGTTAGCCTGTGGAACTCCTTGCCACAGGATGTGGTGATGGCATCTGGCCTAGATGCCTTTGAAAGGGGATTGGACAGATTCCTGGAGGAAAAGTCCATTGCCAGTTACAAACCAGGATGGGGATGTACAACCTCCAGGTTTAGAAGGAAGGGACCTCCAGATGCAGGGGAGGGAGATCAGGAGACATATCTCGTTGTCTCGTGGTCTCCCAGAGGCAGCTGGTGGGGCCACGGTAACAAACAGGAAGCTGGACTAGATGAGCCCTTGGCAAAATCCAGCAAGGCTCTTCTTGTGTTCTTATGTAAAGTATCAGACAAGGGTGCATTTTATCTCCTTATCTGTTTAATCTGTACATAGGACATATCATATGTAAAGTCAGACTAGAGTCAGATGAAGGAAGGGTGAAAACTGGTGGGAGAAACATCAATAATTCAAGATATGCATACAGTATAAAACCCTCTTACTGACAGAAAGCAACAGTGACTTGAAACGCCTGTGATGGAAACTGAAAGAAGAAAGTGTCAAAGCAGGATTGCAGTTGAAAAAAAGAAGATCAAAATCATGGCTGCAGGAGAACTATGCACCTTTAACGTCACAGTCTTGTATTTCCAGTCACTATGCATGGGTATGAAAGCTGCACGGTTAAGCAAGATGACAGGAAAATAACGATTTGTTTGAAATGTGGTGCTGGAGGAGAGTTTTGAAGATACTCTGGACTGCCAGAAAGATGAACAAGTGGGTCCTAGATCAAAGCAAGCCTGTTGATTTGACTATTTCTGGAGGCCAAAATGTGGAAACTGAGGCTGTGCTCCTTTGGGTACATCCTGAGAAGGCTGGATTCCCTGGAAAGGACAATCATCCTGGGAAAGGTGGAAAGCAGCAGGAAAAGAGGAAGAGGGGATGCGAGATAGACTGACTACCTTATGGACGCCATGGGCTTCAATTTGTAGAAGCAGCAGGAAAAGAGGAAGAGGGGATGCAAGATAGACTGGCTCCCTTATGGACACCATGGGCTTCAGTTTTCAGGGCCGTTGAGGATGGGCCATTTGGGAGATCCCCTTGTTCATAGGGTCGCCTCCAGGTGGAGGTGGCTTAGGGGCCGGTAAGGACCACGATGCGCAGTTGGAAGACAGAGGCACGAGCTGAGCCCTCCATAACACAAAATGTGCTAAAGGCTTCCAAAGGGATTCAGATCCATCTTTTATGCCGAGCTGTCGCTAGTCCTTTTGGGATGGAGGGCGAGATGCTCCATCTAGCACTTAATTGCCCTGGGGAAGCTTCTCTCTCCCCCCCCCCCATATTAAAAAAAAGGCAGGATTGGAAGGTCTTCCGTCTGGAAAAAGAAAGGTAAAGTTTATGGTCCCAAAGAAGGGGAGAAAACGACCAGGTGGGTGTTGGCATGCTCCCAGGTTAGGTGCGGGAGCGGGAGGGGGCACTACAGTAATTAATTTGTTTTCCTGGGGGGAGGGGAGTGAGGAAGCTGTGATTTCAGGGGAAATCTGGGAACCATTCCAAAAACAAGCAAGGGGCAAGATTACACCAGAATTGCCAAGGTTTGCCCCCCCCCAGTCCGCCCCCCCCAGCTCCTGGGGGGGCTTCCCTTCTTAGGAAACTCTCGGGAAAGAGGGAGTGGGGGGGGTGCGACCGCTGGCAAACTTCGCCCCTCGGCTTCCCGGCCGGCCCTTCCCTGCGTCCCCCACCCCCGCCCCGGGGCTCGGTGGGGCTTTGCACACGGGTCGGCGGCGTTTTCACACGGGCTGCTGGTGCTCGCCCAAGCGAGATAAGAGGAAGTTGCGGGCGGCGCTGCCTTTTCCCCGGAGAAGGCACAAGCAGGCGGGGGGCGCATGGGCCGG